CAGGGGTTCGTTACAAATGTCTGAAATGTTTATGTGTGCTGTGACTCATATCAGTAGGTCTGTAACATATGTGTCAGTAGGTCTATAGAATATGTGTATTTCAGACATTTGTAACGAACCCCTGTTGATCAGTGCAGTGTAACAGACGATATTTCTGATAAATTGCACGAGTGTTAAAATTGTTTCCATTGCCGGCATTGGTGATTTCAACCGATGTGCATTTTGTACGATATTGCAGACAGACATTGGTCATGTTTTTGTTGTAATAAAAGTATTTTTATTTCTTTTTTGCACATAAATTTACAATGACATTGTCAAGTCTCACAATGCCCAGGTATATTTCAGCAGCCATCATGTTTATTTACATTGGATATTGTAGTTCCGGTCAGTGTTGTAATTAATACGTTAAGAATTGTGTCTCGTGCGGCATGGCAATTAAAGTCTCATCAACGACACAGCTTTCAAAGAGGCTATATAATGACAATGCCATGCAAATGTAAATATATATAAATAAACTTTATTTATTTTACACAATTATGAAACAAGTTACATAACTTGTATTACTCACTCTTGTTGGTCAGAATGTTAGCGCGCAGTGGGTCTTAATGTGGGAGGAAACCGGAGAACCCGGAGAAAACCCACGTGGCTGGACAAGTTACCTAATACCTTTTCACGTCCGATCGGGGCCTCGTACCCTGGTCGCCTAGGTGAAAGGCGAATGCGTTATCCACTGCGCCAACCGACCACCCACTCATTAACATTGTATACGTGTGTATCTAGCAGGGAATACATCTTTTTTAAACAATGTCCAAACTGTTTATAATGTATTTATACTTGTTAAATCTTTGGAGAGTACCATGATTGGGCCTGGCATGAAAAATACCCCTTACATCTACATTTTAACCTTTTGTGACAGTGAAAGATGAGTTATCTCAGGGAAACAAAGAGTCGTGTTTCCCTATAATGAGGGTTATAACTGTATTAGAGGTTCCCTAACGAGTGATGGTTGGTTATAATTATTATCTAACTCGAGTTAGATTATTTTCCATTTGATATAGTAACAATTGGTTCTGTTTCTGAATCGATATTTCTCAATAACTTGAGTGTAGAACATGACCCAGTTCACCGCGTATGAATACGGAGGCACGGTATACGTAGTTCAGTGGTAGGACCCCGGGCTCGTGACCGAAGGGTTGCGGGTTCGCGCCACGGCACGGCAATGTGTTGTATCTTTGAGCAAGATACTTTACTCCGCTTGTTTCAGTCTACTCAGCAGTAAATGAGTACGTGGTTGGGCAGTGCTATGATTGTTGAATGCTAGCTGTTAGCGCCGAAATGGCAGCTCCGGCTGTATGCGCCCAAGGGAGTTGAGAAAGGTATTGGCTGGTTGCAAAGGCCCTATAACCACGGATAATAATTTGTGAACCGCTTTGAGACGACCTACGAACTAGGTTGTGATAAAGCGGTATATAAGAAACTCCAATTGTTATTATTATTACATATGTATTATAATATATGTAAATATTGGCAGACTTCTTTCCGCAAACTTTGTGTCAAAGACTACCATGCGTTCGAGACACCAAAGTAAAAACATTAAATTTAATTTTGTTGTTGTGTTTATTGTGTTTTTTGATAAAGATACTTTTGTTAGCTAGTGTCAGAAACTTCAGTCGCGATTGTTCGTCGGTACAAAAACGTTCCATCAGCTCCACTCTCTCATCTATGAGTGTCGGCCGCCATGACACAGAAACGATGGCTATCGTTCCTAGAAATGTAGGTCAAAATTCTCGTCTCCCAACAGTCACTCGGCCGACAAACGATTTATGCATATCATACATGTCATCTGTACAAACCAGTGGTATGCTTACAAACAGCGATTTCAATAATTGCACATTCAATTTCCCCAGGTCTAGGCTAGTCACTATCGCTTGACGACATGGTAGCACTCTCTATTTCCCGCCTTTGGGCGTATCACTTTCAAACGATCGACGTAACTGTTACGCGGTCGTTAGTATTTTCTACTAAGTATTTTGACCCAGTACCTCAATTTCATACAGATATAAAATTTCTTATTCTATTACCTACTAATACAATTATGAAGATATTGTATGAAGTAAAATATGGATATTTTATGTGAATACAAATATTGAAATGGAGGAACTTTTTTCTTTTATTGTGACGGAGAAAGTGGGCGGGGTTTAGCTGTCTGTCAACGGCTTTTGCGAATGGCTGTTTCGCATGGATTAACATGACGTTAAAATAATTTTGAACGCACATTACACAAGGTAAATGCTTGTATCCGACTCTTTTAATGGTGTTATTGTTAAAAGAAAATATTGTAAATATAAGGATTAACCTTATATTTTGTTTAGTTTATGAGATAATAAAACCAATGGAGCACGAGGTCAATAGTTCGTAAACACGGACACGAAGTTTACAAAAATTATATCAAGAAAACCATATGTACATTTTTCCTGTTTCCGGTAGGGGAAACAATTGGCATGTACATTGACGTCACAATGGAAGATGACGTAGTAAAGTATTGTTACTTGACGTCATGATTAGAAGATTGACACATCCAAGGTGTTACAGGTACCCACTTAGGCATTGAACTGATTTCAGTTGGCATTCACAGGCAATATGAATGCTAACTTGACAAATTAAAGGCAAATTCAATTAAGCGCGCTAGGGCTTCGTGTTGGATTTGCGTTTGTCCAGTGGGAATTCATATTGCCTATGAATGCCAACTGAAAGCAGTTCAATACTTACATTAACCGTTTTTGGAATATATTCATCTCATAAAAATTCAATTACACGTATTATTATTCAGCATTAAGTTAAATTAATGTATGTATCGTGTATGCTTGTTCAATGAATAGAACAGTCATCGCTTTGGGAGGGTCAGTGGTATCCATCGTACACACAATTATGACGTCAGGTACTGACCGTAGCTCGTTGTTTTTCTCCAGGAAGGGGAAAAGTTGATATTTTCAAAATGGTCGCCATTCCAAACGCATTTTTATGCTTCCTGATCTTATTCTGGTAGTTGGAATAAGAAATAAGTGTCCGAACTGTCTACCTTAAATTAATATATGCGACCAAAATGTTTATATATCAGCCTTTTAACATTTTCCTATATAGCCGGTATAGGATAGATATTTTATTTTGTTATATTATATCGCGATATTTCGAAATCGGTACGATACACAATATTTTTGGGAGGTCACGACACATCTACGATATTTCCCGGATTTTGTCGTTCCAAATTTAGTCTACTCATATCGGTTCCAACATGGCGAGTGACAACTTCAGCTCGGCATGCACGTTGAAAGACGTGACTTGTGTGAAACTTTAAAGTCATTGCCATTTTGGACCAAGTCTATTTCTTGTTATGACATGGTATTTCAACTTACAACATGATATTTTCTCTTTGCTTCTACTGTTACTTGTATATGTATCGTGACACGTATCGAATCGTGACCACACTATCGAGATACGTATCGTATCGTCATGTTAATGTATCGTTGCAGCCGTAGTTCAAGAACAGCCGAAAACTATAACATGTTCCAAAACACAATAAAATGCTTCGGATTTAGTTTAAATAGTTACGCTTTAATAGATAACAAATCATGAGATACAAAGGTATCCAGTATATTCATCGTAGACTATTTCTTTAAAAAAAACAAAATGGCGACTAATGGACGTTTACTCTATCGTCATTGTGATGTGTATTGCACATGAGAATATTTTACGAGTTCAAAACTTTATATTCAGTAAAAGCAACGCAACATTTGACAGACTATTTATAGGCTGAAAATATTTATTTTAAATCCATAACATAGGTTTGTGTCTATTCAAGCAGAATTTCAAACATGTAGACGTGAAAAAGTATTGGGTCACCTGCCCGACATCGTGGGTGTCCTCCGGTTGCTCCGGGTTCCTCGTATATTAAGACCCCACATGCGCCTACCCCGGGCCAACAAGAGTGATTAACATAAGTTGAAATCAACTGTTTCATAATTGATGAAAATAAATAAAGTTCATATTGATGTACATGTATTTTTATATATTTACACATAGGCAAAGAAGTGATAACGACAGTACTGACAAAGAAATTTGTGAAATTTTCAGAATTTGCATATCACAACATTTACCAAAGAATAACAATGACTGTTTATTTCTGTTAAATTTGACAAATTTCTTTGTCTGCGCTGTCGTAATTACCTCTTTGCCCATATGTCTATTCAAGTAATATGCATCCAACCAACATCTGTTTGTTCAGATCCAGTGCCAGTATTGTATCATACTGTCGTTATTACTTATAGAGAAGAGTACACGACGCCATCGTTGCATAGGAAACACGTTTGGACGGTTTCGCTGGAGCCATTGGAGTCTGACGTCACGTCGATGACTGTCCAGGGCCATTACCACTGCAACGCGACGCGGCTTAATACCGTAGAAACAGAGAAGCCCCAGCACAGTATATCGGCTTATTTTAGGATTGCGTGTCCCTGGTGTCTAATTTGCAGTATTTTGTGCAGTTCTGAACCGATCGCACAAGTGCTGCAACCGTATGAACCGCTTCTGACGATCCGTCGTAACCTTCGGTCGGCCAGTTCGAGGGCGGTCGGCAGTTGTACCAGTTTGTCCGAGACGGCTGTAAAGACGACATCTTGTACTTTTGTGGACATTCAGTACTCTTGCCGCAGCATTTTGGGAGTTTTCAGCCAGTAGTACCTGCACTGTACTGTCGCGTGTATCGTTAGTTAGTCTTGGCATTTTGAAGTTATCACAAACTGATTTATTTAACCGGACTATTCTTACCCGATACCTGAAGAATGATAAACAGGTCTAAGACGCATGCAATGCGGCCACGTGTATCGGTGCCGGTGCTAATCGGACTATGAATTGAAGTCTCGCGGCCATGAGAACGCGTAGTGTGACAGAGTTCAATTAACCGTGAATTGATGGTGAATTTGTATGATTCCATGCTATTCAACACGGTTAACCATAGTATATTAATATTATAAAATTATGGACATTTAAGGGGGTTGCGTTCTTGTGCGTGTCATAGTTTATATAGAATATATATGTAATACGTTTAACGAAAGATTATGCTGCTTCTTTTTTATAAGTTGGAGGCAAGGTAGTGTAGTGGTAGGACGCCGGGTTCGTGACCGAAGGGTTGCGGGTTCGAGTTACATCACGGCACTGTGGAACAAGAAACTAAACTTCTCTTGTTCCAGTCTACTCAGCTGTAAATGCTAGCTGTTAGCGCCGAAATGGCAGCACCGGCTGTATACTCCCCAGGGAGTTGAGAAAGGTAATTGCTGGTTGCAAAGGCCCTATAACCACGGATAATAATACGTGAACCTTTTTTAGACGGCCTACGAACTACGTTGTGATAAATCGGTATATAAGAACCTCGAGTTATTATTATCATACATTTTGTATGTTCATCTTCAGTCCCAAAGACGAATTGGTTTGCAGACGCACAGAGGGAATTACAAAGAAACCTACGTGCCCGAAGGAACACAAACGTTGCTAAAAATATCATATTATTTGTCGGGGATGGAATGGGCGTTAGCACGGTAACAGCCGCCCGGATTCTCAGAGGTCAACTAAAGGGTCGGACAGGGGAGGAAACTGTGTTAGAATTTGAGAAATTCCCGCACGCTGGAATATCAAAAGTAAGTACATTTTTTTGTATTGCATATGTATAGAAAACGGATTTTGGCAACGAGTAAATATGTTATTACAAAGACCCTCTACACAATACAAGTCCATAAGCTGATTGATTTTGGTCATAACTTTTGATGACAATCACTTACTGACAGTCGAACAACCACGAAAAATAGATAGATCCTGCACATCTGAGTTTATTCTTTGGATATTAATGCCATTAATTTTAACGTTTACCATATTCTGTTACGCTCATCTTCACATGTTGCTTTTAAACTGCATGCTTAAATGTCAACAATTTGTTAATAACGTCATCCTCTCTCTCTATATATATATTAATATATATTAAGAGCGAAATCTCTTACGAAAACACCCGTGTGCATTGTCTTGTAGCCATAGAATCCAATACTCAACAACTTCGAAAATGTGTGCCAGCGGGAAATGTCTCGCGCTTTCATATGGAACCCTACACCTTCATTGGTCTCGACATCAAACTTAATCAATGCTACGCTCTTTTGCGGATCATCCGTTTACATATCATTGTATCTTTTTTTTATATATATATACTATTGTAAATAATATGAAAAATATATATACGTACTATTACAGACGTATTCTAACGACCAGCAAACACCCGATTCCGCTGCCACAGCGACAGCTATAATGTGTGGGGAGAAAACAAACTCATTCACGCTCGGGATCAACGACAACGTCCGGGTCAGCGATTGCTCAACTCAACCCGGAAATGAACTCAGCTGCGTCACCGACTGGTTCAAAAACGATGGTAAGTTTCGTAAAATATGAAAAATAGGTTTTTCTAGGAATACTTGAAGAAACTTTGACTATTGTTGTATTGTGTAAGAATTTTTTAATATGGTGAAAGAAGCCAGGAAGGAACTGATTACTTGAAAACCTGGGAGATATTTTGTATATTTCAGAAAGGTGGGGTCAACATTTGGCCCTCACTTTGATTTATTTTATTCTTTTGCCATATGTAGATACATAAAAATGATCAATAACTGCATAAATGATTATTCATAATTTCTACCGATAACCGTAGCGGACCTCCTTGCATAACACCAGGTTGAATGACGGGGGCATCCTAACAAAATCACAGATAAATGTCACAGGCAAATGTCATTTTGAAAATGAATTATGATAGTGTACAGTGTATAACATTACTGTTATTTTGATACTAAATTTGTCATATTGCTATACATGAAGTAAGCGAAGTGATTCTTTTAATTAGAAAAACATTCACAATTTTCATAAAATTCAAAATATAACCAACATTGTCAACTTTTATATAGTTACAATGGTAGTCTATATTTTAAATTTCCTTAAAAAACTTTCCATATATATATTCTGTCTACAGAATCATTTTTTTTTTTTGTAATATCAAAACCGTAAAGTACTTTTTTAGCATGCCAAACATGATTAATGCCTAATTTCACACACTCATGAAATTTGATTATCAGTGTTTAGTATGATAGATACCGATACCTTATCAGTTTTTGTATCATACCAAAACACTTTATTATATTACGCATGATTTAAAGTTATGTACAGCAGTAATAATTCATGAATATGTATTCTGCCAAAGTAATCTTTCCTCTGAAGAATGACTTAAGGTTGAGATTGTGTTATAGACAAAGATATGCAATTATATAAAAACAATGAAATAATCTTAATAGTTAAAACTATAATACACTTTATAAAATAACCTGCAACAAAGTTAAGGGGGTATACTGGAATCAGCTCGTCCGTCCGTAGAAAAAGTTTGTCCGGACAACTCCTTTTAATTAAATCAATTTATTTCAACGAAGTTTCCAGATATTATAACTACCACCTGATGTTGTGCATCCAGGTACTTTTTTTATTCTGACCCTTTTTTAACGGAGTACTGGCCCTTGGTTGAAAAATACTTGTCCAGACAACTTCTCCAAAACTATGGGGTCACTTTCAACGGTAGTTTACAACTATGGTAACTGCCCCCTGACATTGTGCATCCAAGTAGCATATTTTAATTCCGAACCTTTAAAAAGGAGTTATGGCCCTTTAGTTGAAAAAAAATTGTGTCTGCCTCATACAGTTTTGGGCCGATTTCAATGAAAGTTGACATATATGGTTATTACCCCCTGATGTCGTGCATCAGGGTAGTAATTTTTATTTCGATCCTTTTTAAGGAGTTATGGCCTTTTGTTAAAAATCTTTGTCTTGACAACTGTTCCTTAACTACTAGAACGATTTCAGCAAAACTGATTCATCTGGGCTAACAAGATTTGGTATGCAAGTATGTTTTGGAATGGGGAGGGATTTCAGTTAGTATGTCAATGACCTGTATACTTAAATAATTACTGGTGGGAGACTATGGATTGCTTTGCAATGTTTTGCCCTAGTTAGCCTTTTGCTTACAGTTCTGGTTTATATAGGAGCGGAGGTATTAGTTAGTCTTTGGCCTACAGTTGTAGTTACTTTATTTTGCCTATTACCAATTCATTAAACAAAATATGTAGGAATATTATTTTTCATTACATACTTACTAATGCATACGTATTTTTGTATATGCGATACGACACAATTGCTCTAACCCATATCAGCCCTCGCCGTATCACACCCCAAAACCCGTATCAACCCCCGCCGTATCACAC